GTAGTCCCTACTTTAACGTTGTTTCTGCCCTTCGACCCTGTCTGGCGTATTACCCAGGCTCGCTCTCTCCCTGTTCCTTACATTCTAAGCTTCTCACTTAACATCTCTTAGCGCCTGGTTCCCGCGGAATTTTCTTCATTCAGGTTTGTTGTATCTCGATCGGTTCGGATCATTGTAAAGGGCAGGGTATGCCTGCTATTTTAGTAAGAATTCTCAAAAGTCATTGAAAACTAGCGATAATTTGGCTCGGTTCGCAATGATGGCAGTGTTGCTATATAGTGGGAAAATGACGAAAAAGCAAAGTGACACGGTCAAAAACCTGCAAAAAAGCTTCTGTTCTACACAAGACTGACTCAAGAAGCAATTTCGGACGAGTTTCCACCAGTCCCTTCGCTTAATATTGTACTTCGCAAATAGTGATATGAGCTCCAGCATCGGTCGGATATTTGCGGGCGGGCGCCGCGCGGTGGGCGTTCGGGTTGGTATGCTACAGTGTGATAGGGCGCTAAAGGGCACATTCCTTGGAAAGCGAGTCCTATCCTGTAATTAATCCTCTACGTGTAGGGGATTTATCGTGCCACTTGCCTTTAAACACGATTCGTTACGCTTAGTTACATCCGCACTTATTTGGACCAGTTTTGATTTATGTGTGAAACCTTTTCGCATTGTCTCGGTCTTACACTGCTTCCGTTCTGCTCTGCTTCTGGTACCATCCATCAGCTGACTCTACGGCTGGAGAGGGTGGAATAAAAAGGGAACTTCGCCCTTGAGAAGTACCCTTCTTTTCGCGCAGAGTGACGCATAGATGGGTTTATAGCTGCCCCAAAGCTAATGTCAATTCTTTAGGTTGATTTAGACTATGGTTTATGACATCACATCGTCGTGACCGTTGGAACTGAGGTAGAGTGCTGCTAACATTGATGATGGTCCCAATGGCTCCTCTCCGTAAAACTTGGAGTTGTTTGCCAGTCTTGAAAGGTGTGAGAATAGCCCAGCTTGGCTCCTCCACCTGTCACACTTGTCAGGGACTCAGAACTGCCTCGAGGAAAAAACCGCTACCGGGTATTGGCCAGAAAACATTTCCAATAAGAAGTTTATGCGGAAAGCCCATCCTCGTTATGTTCGTCCTGGGTTACCGCAGAGCTTATCTTAGAGATTCGAGGTGGTTTTGGCAGCCGGGTTTCTTCTGTGCAAACTTGAAATGTCGTCAAAAGAAATCGTTGATTTGACGGTATCCCAGTGCCGTGGCTCGTGCCTGCAATGAAATCAAACTTGCCTTTTCGGTACTTCAGGGCTACCACGATGACTGAGACTGAGAACATTGCTGCTGCCAATGGGACAGATAATGTCGACGAAAGTTGTGAGGCAGCTCGAGGTGATTGTTGTTAAAGTTTTATAGTAATTTTGTCTAGTATGAATGTAATTTCTATATGTTGTCAAGTATTAGTTAGTAATTTTGTCAGTATGAATGTAATTTCTATATGTTTCAGTATTACTTCGGTAACATCAATCTTCCAAAAGATAAATTTCTCCAGGATACGATGAAGAATGATGAAGGATGTGAGTGTAGCACTTGCTTTGCTGCATACATTGACGGAGTTTGGCGACGGGGTGGTGGGGGGGGGGTGGGGGGGGGAAAGAAGAAGGACTTACAGGTCTCACTCTGGTGATATCTGTAAACCTCGTAGCTAGCACCTCTAGTCAAAATCTGTCTACTCCTGTGAGCTCATGAAGTAGCTCTGTAGATGGGTAGCCAGGTCAATGGAATGTAGCAAAAGTACCAAATGCCCCCCCCCCACCGTCGCCGAACTGCCCTTTCACATTGTTTAGCATTTTCATTTTGGAATCTCATTTTAGGGGTTCCTATCAAAACCCTTCTCACCTTTAATCGTTTGGCAGCCATAACTACTGACGTGGATGTCATATCAAAAGCCGTCAAGGTAGATCAGTTCTAAGAAACATGTGTTAATTTGCTTGTTTTATTTCTCTTTGCGTACTGATTCGATTCAGGAGTCTAATTCGGAAGTAATCAGCGTGTCAGACGACGGCCTTAAAATACGACGCAACATTGGAAATCCTCTTCCTGAAAATTCTTTGGAATACTGGCAGAAGATTAAGCATTGCACAGTTTATATGGTGAGTATTCTTTCTTTGTTGATTTTGCATAGTTTTCTTACGAGGGCAAAGCGTGGCATTCCACAGCTCATCTTTTTCAAGAGCGATTTTGGTGGCTAGAGTAACGAATAATCTATTGGTGGATAGTACTTCCTGCTTTGAAAATAATGGGCAGCTCTGTCCAGCCTTCACCGCCCATTCTTCGAAATTCGAGCGCTGCTCGAATTTTCCTCTGGATAGATCTGATAGAAATTGTCCTTGTCGTACTTTGACCTCAGGACACGGATATCACATTTGCTTGGGGTAAAAACGCCTGACTCGTGTGCTACCGAGCCAGCATTTGTGCTGCAGGCGCCCTAAATGGATGTAGCGGTCGTGTTCAGCGTCAACCTAGCCTCCCGGACAAAGTCTCGGCGAGTT